TGATTCAAGCGCGGGTAGCCCCGCCCGCTACCGGAAGCAATTTTGACACGGCCATTCTGGCAGCGACTCTGGCCACAAAAACATTCCAGGAAGTAATCTGACGATATATTGAGAAGAACGTTCAAAAGCTTCAGTAAATGTGGAACATTCCTTTTAAAGGCCAAAGTGACAAGTCCTTTGTCTCCGGTGAACCCCGCCATTTTCCAGAGGGGATCAAAGGAGAGAGTTTCAAGGATGGACCCGAAAGCCCCTGCTCTCAGCTGCGTTGCTGGTGATAGGTACATATGTGAATAATCATTATTGAACGTCGGTCTCAACTCTGAGCAAATAATGTTCCCTACTGCCAAAAAGTGCTTTCCAAAAAATAAGACAGCCTATGTATTCAACACCTTACCACACTAACCATATTATACACACGTTTATACCGTTAAGCGTAAGGATTGCGCACAACTCAAAAACAGTTTCAGAGCTGAGTGTCGCAAAAAAAAACATCAACCAGTATGACATCAGGATCTTCGAACGACCCTATGCAAAGCAGGTCACCTAGGATGATGCGTCGACTCTTCAGGAAGGCGGCCAGGACATGGGTGGACGGAGGATGGTCTCTGGAGCAGAGGAAGCCCGCTCCATCTCGGCAGACGTGCCGGGCGCGCCATCTGTCGGAGCGCGCCTAGGTCGCGGTTCGGCCGGCGGCCGCGAGAGGCTCTGCGACGGCCGGCGGCTCGCCGTACCCTCCGTCGGAGGACTCGTCTTCGTCGTCATCGAGGTAGTCGTCGTCATAGAAGTCGGTAATGTCCACCGGCTCCGTGTCCGGCCGGGCTTTCGTCTTGATGCAGTAGTCCTCTAGGGTCAGTGGCACAACGACGTTGTCCTTTTCTGCGTCCACCCGTGACGAGGACACCTGTTTCCTGCCGGTGGAAAGCAGTCAGCACTCGAGAAAAGCAGCCGAGGGCCCCTTTGCCGGTGTCGATGCCGTTCGCTACCATATATTATTATTTTTGCGGGAACTGAATATAATCCGGCCCAGTTGTTAACAGGCTAGAGCGTCTGCCCATCCACCCGTGGCTGGGTGGGCTGGATTCGCTTTAGACGCTCGCTGTTTGCCCTTGACTGGAATGGCATGCGACTGATGGCAGCAGTTGCTCTCACGTAGTGACGTCAGAGAACTGCATCAGCCGTCCTGAGCACTGCGGACGTCAAACGTTTGCTGTCAAAATCTTCACGATCGGATGGTGGGCGCCAGGACACACGCGATAAGCACTACTGGGCGCGGGCACTGACCTCAAACACCCATCCATTCAAAAGGTTTAGACCGAACCTTTCAAAAAATATAAGTGCTGTTTCGGCTGCTAGGCGTGATATTATGTCTTTACAACAAAATTACGTCCTAACTCAACTAATATCCATGGCATAAATCCCGCGCACGCATCATCCATGCTTTGATGATGTACACCGCCTAACCTACTCATATGCGGTCTTCGCGGACCTGGATGTTTGCGTGAGGGGAGAACACCTTCAGTCCTCCGTACAATATCTGATTGAATTGGGGATCATCTCAAAAAAGTTTATAACGAACACACCTACCTCGCTTGCTTTCGAAGCTGAAAAAACTTATTTGTAACAGATACAGTTAACATCAACACCATGCAAATAACTTCAAGCGCGATACGATGCATCAAATTTAGCACACTGAAACTGCTGTCTGTTCTCCAGATTATTCCAGTCGCTCGGGTGCTTTTCAAACGTGCCATCATCCACTAGCACCGTGTGGTTCCAGGACAAGAAGTCAAAACACGGGAGGCCCAAGGACATTAATTCAAACGGTAAAAAACAAAACGCAGAGCCACACGGGATAACGAAAATGCAAAAAAGCAAAAAGACCGTGGGTATGTCCAAGGCAGAAAGTCGAACCGCTTAAGTCAAAACATGTCCAGTAAAATGCAAAAAGGCAAACGCTAAAAGGCTTATTGTCATTTTCACCGTTATCCGCTTGACCTATATCACTTTTACTTATTACACATCTAACCCTTATAAGTCAACAGAATATAGGTGTGCACCTTTAAGAACAAGTCGGTCAAAAACTAAGGCAATAAATATCAAATGCAAAGAGCGGAACAAGCTATCAATCAAAACGCACCTGCCCAAGCCAGAATACCTAAGTTTAATACGGCTTACGAATGCACTAAGGGCTTTTGACCAGTTGCTCGTCCAGGAGGGCGGGGAGGGACAAGGAAAGCTCACGGCTCACCCTAACCTCAACACTGCGCAGAAGACGCAGAGGTGCCCAGGATTTATATCGGAAGAGCCTTCCCGCGCAACGCTAGATGTTTTGTGGGCTGGAGGTTAATGTCCGCGTAATGATGTTTCGACACGTGACATCTTGCATGCTACTTGCCTTGCCCTTCTTCGACCGCAAGGCAAGGTGGTCATAAAAATACACTGCTTAAGGGCGTGTTCACGACTTTTTAGCTGGGTGATTTTTTTATTCGGGTCACCTAGGCAAACTGGGGCTCTCTCGTACATTACGGGGCTCCTGGCTACGCCTCGTGAGGCGTACAAATCTCCTGGGCGTAGCCTTCTCAGAGCCCCCTGGGTTACAGGGCTAAGAAGACCCATGCAGTAACCTATTCGGACCTCCCACAGCTTCATCCAGTGTTCTACCCTGTTTAGGAGAAATTGAAACTCACTTTCCCTGCGGTACTTTGGGGTCTGGTGAGATGACGGAGCCCCATTTTTGTGAATTGCGGAGGAAAATAGAGCATACCACGCCGGCCAATCTCACACAAATGATATCTAGACGCGTTTTCAAACGCCACCTTGCTATGTATGTATTTCTAGTAGAAAAGATTCCGTTGTGAAAAGCACCGGGCGTATTGCTAGACGTGGTTCGGTTTGTTGGCTGTTGATGAACAGGAAAACTTTTGACAATTATAGACTAATATTTATTAAGATCAGTTCCGTGTTTATCCTTGGACTCTGTAAGAAGACATCTTCGGGGCCAGTCATTTTTAAGTAGACGCATGGGGGCTGAGACTGTCTGCTCCACACCGACCCCGTCTCTTAAAATTGATTTGACCACTGATGTGAAGGCTCCTGACCTCCTGAAAAGACCTCCTGATCTAGAACAGGGGCATACCTATTTTTAAACAAAGGGTGCCTCCTATTCCGGTGCAGGAGCCCTCCGATTCAGGAAGGGGCCTCCCGGGCCTGCAGCCCCCCCCCCCCCCCCGTCACAGACAAAGCCGAGTCTCCTAATCCAAAGTAGGACTGTATAGTTCATTAAAAGACTTCCTGACTCAGAGCATTGGCCTATGAACGGAAGCTATGGTGGACGCTGGTCGCTATTAATTTAGTAATCTTTTTATTTCACACTATCGCTCAGTCCTCGATGAGTGGTTGAAGCCAAGAGGGCTATTATTGGACCCGTGCCACACCGAGATGGAATGTGTGAAGGTAAAATACTTGAAACATACTGATGCACCCCAAAAATGTTACAAATATAAAACTTCCAAACCAGCAGTGCAACACATCTTCACGTCGCAGACCGACGCCCCAAGGTATGTGTACGCTGGGAGGTAATCATAACGGATAATTCAGATGGCAGCGCATTAAGAAGACTCCCCGCTCGACATGCTGGGCAGCGGCACCCCGATTACAGGGCAGACTAAGGAGACGGCCCTGCCATCCTCTCCGCGTGTGTTAAGGGCACCCTTGGCTAGACAAAAACCTTGGGCTAAAGATTCAGGTTCGCCTGTGCTGCAGGCTTCGTGTAAAAGATTGAGGGCTTGCTAGATAAACATCAAATGGAAGTCCAGCCAGCCCAGGTTTTCACGCACCCCAGAAATGTGATGAAATCATCGTTTTCCTGAAATGATTCGGGCGGCAAAATCTACCGTCTTTTGAGCCGCCACCATAGCGTTCGCTGCCCCATTACCGTACACTGACAAGTTAAAGCGGACCGGTGACAATGGTAGGTAAGGCTCAATGGGGCAGGTCTTAACAGACATGGGAGAGGGCAGACAGAAACCCAACGCAACTCCGAGACAGCCGGGCTGAAAATTGACAAGTACATGACGATATCATGCCATTGCCGAAAGCATTACTTTTGATGCGTCTCTGATACCAGGCGACTGATTTAGGCAAGAATCACGTCCTGGTGCAGGGCACGCTATAGACTCGCCCCTTGCTCACAATATAAACAGCACGCCAACAGTCTGCCGATTCACGTGCACTTGAGCAGCTGAACGTAACAAATATTGCCACAGTGCATCCCCTGGCAGCGCCGGTGTGACCGGGGCAAACCGACCCACAAGTGTCGTGAGACTCGACGTCGGCCAACGCCACTGGCCCGCCAGTGCGCCGCTGGCCTTCTCACCTGATGATGTTCTCGTACTCCTTGTCCTTGCCCTTGGACTCCTTCCAGCGCCGGTACATGACCGACGCGTCCACGTTGGCCGGACTGTACGTGTTGGGCTCGTTCAGGAGCGAGATCACCGACAGCAGGATCGTCCTGGCAACATGCGCCGCTTCAGATGCCCAGTCGGGCCGGGTCGCATGGCACCGCTCGAACGGCGACACGTGCGGCGCATCACATGCGACATAGTGGTCACCGCTGGGGGTAGAACGCAACCGTCGAGGTTCCTGTACTGTCATTTCGGATTGCCCCTCCTCTATCACCTGATATCATGTGAACGGTGTACGCTGGAAAACATTGGATGCGGGTTGCCACTGAATGTCCAAAAACCCGCTATGGGGCCTATCGCGCTTACTGACACGCACTACGTGCTGATGCTGGACAACGACCGGAGCCCTCAGGCTGGCACTAGTCCCTGCCTGGCAGCCGTGCGTCACCGCGGCTCCTGGCGTGCCGACCGGCACCGGTCCTGACCTGACGTTCTGTGTGGGGTTCCAGCGCTCGCAGGGCAGCTCCCCGCTTTGGGGGTCGTCAGTCGGCGGGTGCAGGATGCTGATGCACAGGTCACCATTCTGAGAGCACATGGTAGAGGTCAGTGGACCAGCCAGCCAGCTGGTGCAGGTCACAGCTTTGAAATGGTGGGTGAAAGGCTGCTGGGCAGGTCACTTGTTACAGGACACATCATAATGTGCATGCCACCATTCTGGAGGTGGCTGAAATGCTGCTGAGCAATGTCCCATAAGCACTGTGCCCATTTATAAAGGTATGCTTGCATTTCATCCGCACAACCAAATTTCAGAGTACATTCAATGAAAAATAGTAACTGCAATGCCCTACAATGACAAAGCTTTAATGGTAGAAAATAATGACAGCTTACCTCATAAACATTGGGATGCCACACCTTGCTGAGGAACTTGACAGTGGGGGGTGAGTATGGGTAGTCTGAAGGAAAATTTAGGTGAGCCTGAAAGCAAGGCCACAACCATAAGCATGATGGCAGACACAAACACCTTACACCATACAAACTTACAGCTCACATCCCTAAGACCTGCATTTGAACCTGAACCATGCCTTCCATTTACCTTTTATAATATCCCAAACCATTCAAGTGACATTCAAAACCAAAAGTGAATTTTTCCATGGGATGTTCCTTTCCTTACATCTACATCACAAGTGTTACACCATATTCCCAGTGGGTACCTTACCAAGCATGGTTCTACTAATAACAAAATATACATTATGGTAAATGCTAATTCAAGTCATTTAACAGCTTTCCAGCAATAATCATTAACATGAAAATGAGTGAAAACATTGTCATATAAATTCTAGAAATGTCTTTGTAACATTATCAGTACACCATGACACAAATACTTTTAAGCTGTGTTCAGGGAGTTATAAATCAACATCGGTCTTGGAGGTCACAGATTATGCTTAGGGATAATATAACAAACCTTAAAAACAAGGTAATGCCTAAGATAATATAATATCTTGCGGAAAAGCACAAGTAAAAATCCACAGCTCCGAAATCCACACGATCTCTGAACCAACAATATGTTTTTGCGACCAGGGACAAAAACATATTTAAGTGAATATTTCACTGCTGAACACATTGAAACAGGCACCACATGTGATGAAACATTCACTTACAACTAACCATATGCTTTAATGGTGGAAAAGACTGCTCCACGCAGCATGATTCTCTGTTTAGTAAATATGATCCTTGACGTGTCATGGTTTAATCAAACCAACCAACAGTGCTATATCTGGGAAGCACTCTCAAGTTTGGCGGATATCATACTCAACAATTATGTTTTTGTTGGCCTTGATCACTGCATGGTTTATGGAGACAACTTAAATGACATAATTATGATGTCATACATGCTGGGGTGACTTTGAACTATTTAACCCTTCACTTTTGTGGGTGTGCACCCCAAAAACTACAGGAGATAAGGTCTTCAGAAGTGCAGTTGTGAGCAGTACCAAAAGGTCTCTAAGATGCATATTTCAGTTCAGAACCCCATATAAATGTGCAACACCCCTTTACTGGAGCAATCCTTCACAAAACAATGATAAAGACAACATTTAATTCATCATGGAAAGGCATCTAAAAATGAGAACTTATTTCAATTTGGGAATAATTTGCCCTGGTACAATGTGAATGGTTATTTGTTCTTAGAATATGCTTATGTGCTAATGCAGACTAGCAGCCTTTTGGACTGCACTTGACAGCATTTCAGGACAGTCATACATTATGAAAAACTCTAAGCTACACAGGACCAAATTTCCTCATTCAAAGTCAAAATGTGATCCTAGCAAGTTGCAAATTCATGGAAAATACCCAAAACATTGATATCACACAAAAACTTACCTTGAAGTATCCTCCTTCATATAGTGTATGTGGAGGTCCAAACAGTGCTACTTCCCAGCAAAACAAATTGTCATCATTTGCAAGCTTTACACGAAATCCCTCCACAGGCTCTTCCTGCAAGCTCTTGTATTCCAAGGTCAGTGCTCTCAGCGCGCTACTTGCTGGCTGTTGTGATCCGTGGGCCATCATCAATAAGGGCGGCTTCGAGATTATATCACTAGATTCGTTTGCTACAGCGAGAAAATTGAGAATTCCACCTCCACACACCACGATAATGGTCGTCTTTGTCTGCCCCAGCTGTGCTCCTCCTCATACAGTTTCCCACAGCACTGCTGACTGGCTTCTTGCGTTCCAGCTGCATCGCATCAGCTGCGAGGAAATGCAATGACGTCATGTTTCACAACAAAGGCCTCTGCCAAGGACACACTAAAGTACAGCATTAACTTTGGCACTCATGAAATTAGAGGTTAAGCGTCGAAATGCATTGCATGCATTATCTGATTATGTCCGTTAAGTTGACGATCATACTGAAATTTGTCCGGAAACAAATACTCATTTCCCTTAAGATGTGTCTTATGAGCAATTGTGACACGAGAACAACGAAAATGACATTTATTGTGCAATACCATGTGGCCTTCAGTGTCAAAAGCAGGTTTAAGCGACGGGGAACTTCATATCATCAAAAAAAGTACCGACCGACTTTAAATATAAAAACATTAAAATATTACAAGCGCAAGAACCAGCGTTCACAACAAGGCTTGATTTCTCAAGATATCCTTCAAGATCAGAGGCAAGCTGAAAGGACAGAGAACTCCATATCGACAAAAAGTGGTTGGCGGATTTCGACTTTGAGCATCAGAATATTCACAAACACAAGAACTGGCTTAGGTCATAAGTATTGGCCATTCAAGGTCACCTGTTAATACCAAGTTGGGGCTCAAAGGACGAGGAATTTCATGTCACCGAAAAATTAATGGACAGTTTCAACTTTTCAACGATCAGAATGTTAACCAGCGCATAAGCTGGCGTCCGTAAAAAGTACTGACCTCTGAAGGTCACCCTTCAAGCTCAATGTCAGGGTCAAGCGAAAAGGAACTTCATATGACCAAAAAATTATTGACTGATATAAGCTTTTCAAGTGTCAGAACATTTACAAACGCAAGAACTACGGCGCGTCAAAATATCCTGGTCTTTTAAGATCACTCCTCAATGTCAAACGATGGCTCAAGTGAAACGAAACTCAGTATCACAAACAAAATTTATCGTGGATTCTAGTTTTTCAAACATCAGAATTCTCACCACCGCATAAACTTATATTCATAAAAAGTGCTGACCTTTCCAGGTCATCCTCCAAAGTCAAACTGAGGCCCGATTGACAGAGAACTCCATGTCACCAAAAATCACCGGCCGATTTAAAATATCTAGAGTTCCCTGTCATTTCAGCCTTACTTTGACTTTGAATGGTAACGTTGAGAGGTCGGGACTATTTGAACGGACACTAGTTCCTTCTGTGGAAAATATTCGGGTGCTTGCGAGTCTGAAATCGATCGGTACTTTCTGTGATCGGGATTTCTCCGTCCTTGGACGGATGTGTATTGAAACGTCCAGAGTTCATAAAGTCCAGTGGTCAAAAAGTCCAGAATCGCGTCATCCAGCGTTCATAACACCCGGAAAACGCCCAAAATCCCTGGACGGAGGAGAATCATAAAGCCCAGTGTGCGTGAGAGCCACGGTTTGGAGTACTGGCCCGCTTCCTCGCAATTCTTAAAATTAAAAAAAAATTAACTTCAAAAATTCAAAAATTCGCAACTTCACCTAATGGTTCGGATATTGCCCGATAGAGGGCTGCCAGAGTCGATTTCGCCCGCCTCAGCCGACGAGTGACGTCATGCGGTATAGTGCTGCCCAAATAAACCACTGTGCATGGATGTGGACAATGTTTTGTCTAAGCCCACAAACTTGCCGCGTCAGTTCGTCCTTGGCAACAGGCGCATTAAAGAATTCAAAACTGATCCCTGGCTCGTGGCATCGGAAATGACTGGTTATTCGGCGGTAGCTGCACGGTAATCGTGGAAAGCACATGTCGGGTCGACTGCTGTTTGGTATTGCGGGCTATGGGTAAGATTCTCTGCGTTATTTGGCTCCGTCATTGACTGTATGTGTTGGTGATGTTTCTCATTTTTTTGAAGGAATTGATGACTGATGTGTAAGGCTGACTGATTTGATGTTTGCTCCAGGTAGGCACGCATATAGATCTCCAGCTCCTGGCACGCTAACTTATATTGTTAGTGATTTTATTTTACTGATTCCCCTCCCTCCTTCAATTGAAAATTTTTTTACACGCTCTTGCAAACGGGACTTATTCTGAATTATACATGCCTCTACTCTCAAAGAGAGGGTTTGGAGGCGGTCTCATCAGATGAATCTGGATCCTACTCCCTGGTGAGACACGTTCAACGGCCCAGCCTACAAACAATTCATTTCTTCGATTAAGTATGTTTTAAGCGGGGGCGTGATTCCCAAAAATAAGTTCGCCGGCTTAGCGATGAAAATACAACGAAGAGCACCATGATAATACGCCAGCAAACTGGGTTCTCTCCGAATATGGCTCACTTGTTCACAAGTTTGCAGGCTGCAGCCCAAGATACGGCGGGGGATGAAACCCATATAACTGAATAGGGAACCGCACTCCTGGTTGCAAGTGAATAGAAAGTAAAAAAGCAAACGTTGACTGCGCATGTATTCAACTACCTGCCAAACGTCACGCAAAACACTAAGCACGTGCCGCGCTTAAAGGCGCTGTTGATTTACCATCTGAACAACGGAGCCGAGTGTATGTCACTGAGTTGGTCTGCAATAGATAAGCTGAATGAATTGGGAGAATCGCGAGCTTGTTTTCGCCATCCACTTCATCATTCTTGACACGCTTTCTTCTTTTTACGCTTCAGAACCTGCTAAGTATAGAATTTGGGGTCCAGCAACACCAGTCTGGAGTTTATCGAAACAGGTGCAGTTCGCGCCGCAGAGGGGCGATGGTGGCATGGTGGTTAGTGGTTAGGGTGCTCAGCTCTGGACTTTTCTATCCTGGGATGGAGTCCTGGCCACACCACTACTGCATCCCAGGTACCTAATGCCTGATAAATGGGTAATAGAGGCGTTCCGCCTCGAAATAGCCATAGCAGCCGGTGAGATGTAAAGCCCCAATCGGTATTACTGCCAGTCTCGAAAAACAAACCGCCACCCGCCAAATTTGCAGGCAATGCTTCCGCTCAATCGCTGTCTATATGTTGGAATGATAATGTGCAATCGGTTGGACGCGGAGCTCAGACACACAGGCCAGCACAGAGGCTGCTCAGTTCGACGGTCCGGTCGGCAGCCACGCCCGCAGCGGGCCGGCGGACGAGGCAGCCCGGCTGCCAAAAAAGAATGCATTCACGCGCGCGCCGTCCCTCGCCCGAGAACCGAACCCCGTCACACGTGCGCGAGGCCTGTTCGTGGGGAAGCCTGTCCGCGGTCGAAACACTGCCAGCCCAGTCGGGCACGCCGCCATCTTCACGTCAGAGCCCGAGGCCCCTGACTCGGTTTTACTCCGTTCGCTGCGGTACACATCCCGGCAGACCGGACACCCGGACGTGTCGGACATCTTGGGATCTCGCTCGTGCTGGATCGGAGCCCCCCCCCCCCCCTCCTCCTCCTTCTTGACGGGCGCCTTAATGGACGAGCCTCGTGTCAGTCAGGAACCAGCAACGGACAGAGTCCCTCTGTCCGTTTTCTCTAGGGCCCAAATGCGTCGAACTGGGATCCCTGTGCTATTTATTAAACCCGTTACTCTTGGGAACTTTTTGGGTCGGTGAGTGGCTCCGTGTTGATCCAGAGTCAACCATCCCGGTCAGAGGGTCTTCGACAGTCAAAGAGAGGACCAATGTATCATGTGTGGTAATAGCAACCGATTGGAGATCCGAAAGGGGACGGAAATGTCCCCCAGCCCTAATCGAAAAATGCATGGGGTCTCAAGTCTTGACTGAAAGCTCTACTGGGGTCTGGCTGTAAAAGGGAGGGGGCGGGGGGTGGGTGGGAGAAGGGCGAGGGGTCCAGGAACCCCTTGGGAGGGGTTCTTTTCGGAACCGTGAAGTCCAAAAAATGACCGTGCTGGATGAGAAGAGCAAAAAATGTTGCCAAATAAAGCTTCTCACAACACCGTAGCAGCGTCTAGCAGTCCAAGAAGCCCTCTCTGATAAACTCGTGGACCTCCTCTGGCCGCTCAGTCGGGACATGCGGTCATGCATCAGATTTCGCGCCAGGTAGTGGTCCAGAATCGCCAAGACAAATGGTCATTGCATGTTAAGTCGATCGGATTGTTATCGCAAATTAGTTTCAGTGCGTGTCCCCGTTCACTGACGACAGTCTCATGGCAGGGCAACACGAATACACCTTCGAAAATACTTATGTCTCAAAAACACTGCCACGCCAAATGCTCACATCAATCATAAATGTTTTCGCGATTGACTGTGACAAGTTATTCAGTTGACTCTTTCGGTGAAAATGACAGCATATCGTGCAATTTTTCTGTTTCTTGTGAAGATTGTCTAGCCTCCGGAATATCTGGCCGAATTATGACCAGAGTGACATAACGGGAGAGCTTTGACACCCTCAGATTGGAGTGCAAAAGTGTGGATTCATGTAATGCTACGCTCAGGAAATATGTGGCTGACAGTAATATCCCTTCTGCATGTGCGTTGTACGTTTGTTTAAGTGTCCATGCTCGCTGTATGTCTACCTGATTCTCCGTTTTGCATAATTCGGATTGATAGGGTATAGAAGGTTAATGCGACCCTCCCCAACCTTTCCAAGTTTATAAAGATAGGGCTTGTTGAGAGCAGCCGTATATTGTTCTGAACACGATCTCACGATTGGTACTAGTCTTTATGTTGTTGACAGGTCAAGAGTCAAATTTTACAGAAAACCGCACTTTGTAGCTTTATCTTATGTTTATGAGAACAAGCCTTGCAGAAACACGAACCCTAAACTGGCATGTATCTTGTTCAATTCTGAGAACATTCTGTAATGCGATTCTCTTGCCGCCCGCCGCCTGAGCCAGCCATAGATCGCTGTCGAGTGCTCATCACAACCTGCCGCTGCTCCGAAACCAGAAAATCTGGGAACACGCTTTGGTATCAAAACACGTACCAAAATCAACGCCTATCATGGCGAGGGTTAAACGTCACGTTATTGCTGCGTTGGGTATCGGCAACGATTTTTCGTGAAACGATATTCCTCATTTTGCTAATAACTGAAGCCATAGCGGGCAAAGCAGGAAAAAACAATGCTTACTTCCTTCCATAATTGCTT